GCCCTTTAGCCTTAATCTTATTGCATTATGATGGCCCTCCCGGCCTCTGCTATGTCCTATGTGCCCCTGGTCTTGCGCTCGCTTGCTTGTCGTGGCTAGTTCTTTCTTCCTGTGGTTCTCTCCTCAGGGCATCACTCCCTTCTGCGGCCTAATCCTTTGTTTTTTCTCTCTCCTGCTTCCTCACTCTAGATTTCTCTATTGTGCATAAATTATCCGTATTCAATCTCTCGAGTGATGGGAAGTTATTCGGGACCCACCAGTCCCGACACATTCCCCCCACCCATTCGCGATGCCCTCATCGCGCACCAATCTCTTGTTAGTGGATTTTTGAGGGATAAACGGGAGAGGAGGATGAGTTGTTATGGGTGGTTAGTTTGCCAGGGTCCGTTTTGTTCTTTTCCCATTCCTTTCTCAATGTCTTCCTTAGCTTCCTTCTCTTAGGGTGGAGGAGGGTATGGGGGAGTGGAAGGCTCTACAACTTAGACCAGGTTGCTCATTTCCGTCACAGCTCTGCCTCTTTATCTTTTCCTCAATTAAGATGCAAACTTCCTCTTCAGTCAACTCTGTATACCCAGCAGGGCAGCCCATAATTCTTTGAATTTCAGTAACATGAAGCAGACGGGGCTCTCCTCGCTTCATGTACTTAATTACTGGTATGCTGGCTTTATTCCCAGGATGACAATTTGTTGTCATAATACAATTGGTTTTCTCATTCTATGCCTTGGTTTTGTTGATAACGAATTGTAGGCAAGTTTTCGGATGCGACTCAATATCAGGCATTTGCTCCGAAAGGGAGATGTTCGTCCAGTACAACCGCCGCCTTTGCTGTGGTGATACCCACTTCAAATCAGTGAACCCAGGCACAACTCCCCTTAAGTGCTTCGTAATCTCAAATCCATCTTCTCATTTCATTGAGAAAACATTCTCGAGCAGAAACCATTTTGGTTTCACCTCATTTATTACTCTTAGGGTTATAAAAAAAATAATTCACTCTCCGGCCCGTGCAATCCATGTTCTCCCATCATTCTTTCCTCAGTCTCATGCTTAGCCAGTTCCCACGTATTTTTTCCATGTCTTTTTGCCCAGCTTATGCGCGTCATCCTCATTCGTCCTTTCTCGTATCAAGGCTTTAAAAATGCGCGTTACTGTCCTTCTTATTCACAGATTTCTTCTGGCCTTTCTCTCTCTCATACTCATGCAAAGTCCATTAAATCTGTATATCTTTTCTGGGCGTCTTGCCAGACTTTTCCTCAGGTCTACGCAAAACCAATTTCACATATCTTTCTTTTCTTAACATCTTGCCAGACCTTCTCTCAAGCTCATGCTAGGTCAAATACTCATCCATTTCTCTCCTGGACACCTTGCTAGGTCTCTTTTCAAGCTCATGCAGAGCCATTCACACATCTGTTCCTCAGCTGGATACCTTGCCAGGCCTTTTCTCAAGCTCATGTAATGTCAATTGCCAGGCCTTTTCTCAAGTCTGCGCAAAGTCAATTACTCATCCTTTCTTTTCTTCTGGACATCTTGCCAGACCTTTTCTCAAGCCTGCGCAAAGTCGATTACTCATCCATCCTTACGCTCATGGTATCCTTATCTTTTGCACGTTTTTTCTTCGGTAGATGGCACACCTTCCCCCCACTCAAAATGCGATGTCCCTATCGCACGACTAGTTTTCACTCGGAGGTACGCAACCTTTGGCCTACCAACGAGTAGGCAGATGCCAGCCTACTAGCCTCAAAAAGGAAGGGTGATCAGTCCTTCCCCTGCTGATAACTCACCTCATCCCCTTACTCTGTCGACCTTTTGCCGCTTACGAGATGGGCATCATTACTGAGGTACCTCCTCACATATGAAAGGCAGGTCCAGTCCAAGCCTCCCAGGACCTCGTCTTGCCGTAAGGACTTCCTCGCGAATCGTTCCTCCCGAGTGGTGTTTTCTTGGATCCGGCCTCTTCCTTTCAAGAGACTTGAAACTCTCAATTAGTCCACGAGTGCAGTTACAAAGACCTCGCAATTAGTCTCGAAGCGGTTGTAATGCTCCGGCGGGGCGGTGTCAATGCCCCGTGGTGGTTGTGGCTTCCACCCGGTACCACGCCCAATTCCTCCCTCTGGACAGTGCTGCTCAACTTAACGCGAGCCGTTGTGGTCCATTCCAAGCGGCCGTGCCGCCCCTCAACGGCATGGCGAGGGGTTGGGGAGAACAAAGGAGACTAAAAAAAGAATGACTTTCTCGCCCATTTGGTTCTCTCACCCTTTGACGTTTAGGCGTTCAACACGAGGCGCAACTTCAACTTCCCGACTAGAGCTCGTTGTCGGGGTCAGTTTCGGACATCCCGCACCGATCCAAGAGGTAGGTGCCTTGGTCCTTCAACCCTCCACCCCTTATAAGAGAAACAAGTCGCGCTAAGACTTTTTCCTTTACAGGGATAGAGGTCTTGGGGTCGCGGTGCGAGCACCGATATCCCCCTCCTGGTGAGGCCAAAGACTAGAAAAAGAAAAAAATCAATTTCAAGGCCATTTTCAAATCCATTTCAAGTTGCCTAGGGTCCCCTGCCTATGCAATGCAATATTCAATCCTCAATCATTCAATCCAATGCTATTTCCAAGGCTGATTCTCGTGGATGGTCTGACAACCTCTCATCAACAAGGCCACCCACATGGCCGGTCTTGCGGTCATTCTCTCAATAGCTATTTCTCAAGACTGACCCTTCCGCCCACTCAATCCTCAATTTTCTCATTCCTCAACACCCAATCTCTGTGACCGTCCCAACGRWCCCTGCCCTTCTCAGCTTTAAGGCTCCGCCTTCTTTATCCTGTCCTTCTCATTCACATCTTTCTTCCGCCCCCTTGGCTATTTCAGCGGCCGACCCACCGACCCTTTTCATCTCTTTCGTCCACCCCTTTGGCTTATTTCAATAACCGACCCACCGGTCTTTTCCATCTCTTCCTCTCATCCCATTGGCTATTTCAATGACGGACTCTCCGACCCTTTCCATTTCGCTCATCCCATTGGCTATTTCAATGACCGACCCACCGACCCTTTCCATTTCTCTCATCCCATTGGCTATTTCAATGACCGACCCACCGACCCTTTCCATCTCTTATTGCTCATTCCAGCACGTTCTCAATCAACCTTTCTCAATCAGATATGCAGGGGACCCCAGTGCCTATTTCAAAAAGAATGACCTTTGTCAGGGACCATTCTCGAACAACCTGGTTAGGGTCGTTCTTTTCCATTCTCAAGTCGAACAGCTTGGTTAGGGCCATTCATTTCCATTCTTAAGTCGAACAGCCTGGTTAGGGCCACTCCTTTCCATTCTCAAGTCGAACAGACTGGTTAGGGCCATTCCTTTCCATTCTCAATGTTAGTGCCCGAGGGGGTGGGCCTCGAGGTTACGGATCCCATTTCCGTCTTGAAGGTTAGAAGGTGGTCATCTCATCTTTTGCGTGCTGTTCTCTTTCTTCTATTTCTCACAGTAATGTACCATCCATTCCATTTCTCACAGTAATGTACTATCCATTTCATTTCTCACCGTAATGTACCATCCATTCCATTTCTCACAGTAATCTACCATCCATGCGTACATCCGACTTAGCGTCTAGCACTCGAGTTGGGGCTCGTGACCCCAAGCAGCACTAACCCACCCGGCCGTTCATCCATAACAAAAGACAAAAGCGCCCCTTCCATTTTCACTCTTCCTGATCACTCAGGTTTCGGTTATTCTCAGTCTCATTCATGACTCAGTTGGATTAGGCTCCTAGGAAAGGAGTGTTCTTCACGCCCCTTAACCCATAGGTTCCCTAACCTCTTTTGTACTCGACCAATCATTCAATGCCATGGTTCGCTCGTTTATCCGTACTCAAGATTTTTCCCTCTCAAAAGCATAATCCTTATTCCATACAGAATTCACAATACACCCTCTCCCAATTGGTCTCATCCCAAATCCCATGTCTTTGTCTTGTGTACCCAAAGAGGCTCATTCAAAAAGTAGCCTAAAAAACTATCTTCTATCTTATCGTGACACAGCCTTAGCTGACCCTCTTTTTACTTCATCCTTAGCAAGCTTGCCCATACTATACACGTTCTCGTCATTCTCACGTCTCTGCAGACAGAAAAACAGCGATCCTTTTCAATGCTAAGTCAAGACCTAGTTCTTATTGCTGCCTTACGCCCAGTTCCTTGTCCATCCCGTTCCTCGGCAGGCTTCCTAACCCCCAGGCCGTAAGTCTCGATCTCTCTTTTCATCCTTACAATTTTATGCAACTCTGCCTCGTTAAAAAAATCCAGTGGCGTGGCTTCCACCCCTGCCCTTGCGAGTTCCCTAGTCTTGATAATCCATTCGTGTCTGATCACATTGGTCCATTGCTGAAACCAATGACTGGGCGTTGGCCCAAACTCGTCCTCCTATTCGAAAGCCCCGTCGCCCGGCTGGTGCATCGGAGGCCGCCCCTCTTCTCTAGGCCTCGAGATCTCATCCCTCTCATCCCCGCTGCTGATTTCTATGACTTCTTGCACATCCTCCTCCTCGTCCTCCTCGTCTTCTGTCTGTATGGGGCTATACCCACCTGCAAGGTTCTTTGGATCGTAGGTAAAAGGAATCTCGACCCCCGTCCCATACCCCTCGCAACTGTCGTGGCCGCTTCGTCCTTCAAGCGGGCTCTCCCTTCTTTCCTCACCCTCCTCGTATTCGTCGCACATGTCTTGTCCCCCCTTGCTCTCCCCATGCCAAGTCTCACGTCGCTTGCCCCTGTTGACTCCTTCCTCGTCAGAGACCTGAACCCGGTTTCCCATCTCTGTATTGCCTTCCTCTTCCACTTCTGCCTTTTCCTTCCCTCCCTCACTGTCAGACGAGATTTATATACCTTCTCCCTCGCGGAGGTCTGAGGGTTTCCTACACAAGCATTTCCTTCCTCCCCTGCCTACCACTAGGTCACCCGTGAGTCCTATATACAACTTTCTCTTTGCCGCTCTCCTTCCTTGGCTTGGTCCTGCTTCCTCCCCTCCGGTAGGCCTGTTGATTGCCCCGCTGTCATTTTCGTCACCGAACTCCATCTTTTTTTTTCTTTTAGACCCTGTATAACAAAACAACACCCGCAAAGCCCCTCATGCACCCATTCCCCCAGTCTGGTAGGTAGTCCCCCATTTTTTCCAAAATGCTCCCAGCATCCTTCGCAGCATGCCCCTATTATACATGCGAATGCATCGTTTGTGATGATTTTTATTTTTATTTTCCAAAAACTATGGTACAATGCCCCAAACATCCCTTCCCGTTGTCACACAAGCCAGATATTGCAAGCCCCCAAGTCATGCTGCCTTTCAACCTCAGTCAGTCCACGCCAAAGCGCCAGTCCCAAAAAAAAATGACAGTCCCACGAACATGGTCAGAGACAAAACATAGTGTGGGCAAGGCTGTGGTCAGTCTTTAGCTTGTGGCTCCTCAATTTTCTTATCTTCGGCCTCGTGAAGCCATTGTTCCACTGGGTCCCGATTTAGAAACCTGACCAGTCGTTGCCTCGGGAAGGGCCCTTTCAATCCAGTTTCATCCAAATCTTCCAGTTCGAAGGTGTTCAGTCCCAGCAGCTTGGCGACCCGGTAGGGACCTTTGAACCTCCTTCCCAACTGTCCCGACCAAGTACTTTCTAGTGTCGAGTTCCTTAGCAATATCATCTCCCCCACCTGAAGTGACTCCTTTCTGACATTCTTAACATAGTCCCACCTTGCTTTGTCCCTCATTCTGCTGTCCAGCACCCGGTTGGCGATGTCTTCCATGACCTCCTCATTCTGAAGGATTTGTTGACATCTTGCCTCGATCAACTCTTCAGTGGTCATTTGCGGATCATCATCTAACCTATTCCAGGTAGGTACCAAGGCTTTCACAGGAAAGTCGATCTCTTTTCCATACCAAAGCTCTGTCGGGATACACCCTGTTGTCCTTTTAGGGGTCATATTCTCTGCAAAGACAGTCTGCTTAAGATACCTAGGCCAGTTTCCCAGATGGTCCGCTGTGAGCTTTGCAATCGTGTTCTTCAAGGTTCGGTGCCCCCTTTCCACAGGTGCATTGACCTCAGGGTGATACGGCTCGATGAGTTTGATCAGTACGCAGAGTCTCTTAAGCACCCCCAATACTTCTTGGTTTACAAACTCCATCCCATTGTTTGTTATAAACCTCCAGACGAATGGATGCCTCAAGTAAAAGTCTTCTATCCAGTCCTCCACACTTCTCCCTGTCTTTTTCTTAAGGGCGACTGCCTCCACGAACCCGCTCAGGTTGTCTCGCGCATCCAGATATACCTGTACCCATCCGTTGATACAGGCATGACTGCAAGGTCGAGGTGGACCAAATGTTTCGGTCCTAGCACCCGCGTTGGTCTAAGCGGCTTGAAGACCCGCACCGAGCTTCGTTCTTGGCAAATAATACAAGTCTGGCAGTATATGGCGACCATGCCTGCCATGCCTAGCCAATAATAGAGTGACGTTATCTTTGCAAGCGTTTCTTTGGACGATCGATGACCTCCAGCCAACCCATCGTGCATTGCCTCGATAACGTCTACTTGCCTAGATCTTCCGCACACAAGCCTTCTGGGCAAAGCACCTTCCTCCCTTCGGAACAAGTGCCCGCCCCTTAGGACGTACCTTTCGGCTTCTTCTCTTGCTTTAATATTGACTTCCGTAGGTTGTTTGTTTCCTACCAATAACAGCCCGATCTCATGGAAGAGCCCTTCGTATGATTGGACATAGAAAAACTCCTTTCCTTCATTGCCCTCATCCTTTCCTTCCTGCATCTGGTTTAGCAACCATTGCAACTCTTTCCTTTCCCAAGATTCCACTAAGCTCATCACTGCTTCCCGTCCTCCCTCGACCGCCATTGCCATTAGTTCCTCTTTCCGTCCTACTATCGCTCCCCATGAATCCTTTTCTTCCCTGCGTCCTCGAGTGGTAACTGATCCTTCTCTAAGTTCTGCTACTACGGCAGGTGCCCCCTTCTCCAAAGTCTGGATCAATAGTTCTCTCGATGTGCATTCCCCGCTCATCATTTCGTTATCCACCGCGAGAGTCCCTCCTTCGTATTCGAGGAATGCGTCTATGGGCTCTGCATCCTCCATCCCTTCGGGAGTGATGCAAACCTGACTCAGCCCATCTGCCTTGTTGCGGATTCCAACAATCCATTCGATCTTGTAATCGAACTGCCAGATGAATCCTACCCATCTCCCTATCGTCGGATCTATAAGCCTGTAATTCTTTAGAGCCCATGCGACATTCGTCGGATCGATCCTTAAGATGAACCGCCTCCCGAATAGGTAGGCCTGAAAGGTCTTAAGGCAATGCAGGATGGCTAGGACTTCCTTCTTGAATTGCGAGTACCGCCGTTCTGCGGAGTTCAGGGTTCTACTTTCAAACCTAATCGGCCTCTCTTTTCCTCCCTCATCCCTTTGAATCAACACACCTCCTACGGCCAAAGGTCCCCTATCCGTCTCTAGGATGAAGGGTCGTCCCACTTCGTCATTAAAACAAAGTGCGGACAGGGCGACTGTCTCAGATGTGAATATGTCCTTGAGCCTTTGGACAACCCCTTCTCGCTCCTCCGTCCAGTCCATGGTTCCTTTTTCCATGATCATAGCCCGGATAGGATCAACAATCTTGGCAAAGTTCTTAATGACGATCCTCCAAGAGCCGACCACGCCCAGGAATACCCTTACCTCCATCGCCGTGCGCAGTGGTGTCGGCCACTGTGATTTCTTGTCGGTCTTTGCCGGATCCGGCTTCCTGCCGTAAGCACCACAACGAAATCCTAGTATAGTTACCTCTGGTACTGCTGGGATACTCTTTGGTCCACTAGCCGTAATGTTGTATACTAGGAACCGGCGGAGTAAGTCCTTGATGTCCTGCAGGTGGTCCCTCACAAAACGTCGAATCCTCGGCTGGACTTCCGTCTCGTCCTTCTCCTGCGCGCCTTTGATCGGATTATCATCGATGTAAGGCTCACATTTCTCTGGGAACATCTCCCCGGCCACAACGAGCATCCTGCGTTGCGCTTCGGCCACCGCGTTTGTGAATTCCATAGGGGTCACTTGCATCTGTAGTTGGCCTACGGGGGTGTGCATAGCGGTGTATGGCCTGTCCCGAACATCCAACGGAAGCTGGTCCTACCCTGACTACAAATCTATCAGGGAGTAAATGCTCCAACCGGCGTGCGATTCTGCTAATAAGTCAGCCTGAGGTAGCGAGTCAACATCCCAGATGATTACCGCATTCAACTTCTGCAGGTCCTGAATCCACCTTAGTGTCTTGTCAGGCTTCCGAAAGACGAACCACCGATTTGTGTATGGCGATGCCGTACGCTCCGCAACAGAGGAGTCCATCTTTGCTCGGAGGAGGTCTGTCACTTCTCCTGCTATCCCAAATTCATAGGACGACCCTTTGTCATTCCAGCATTCATGTTCTACCGTGTAGATTCTGACCGGAGGGATCAACTTCGCATCCAGTCGTCTCTTCTGATGATCACTAAAGACAAATGTCAGGTGAAACTCCTGGCATGTCCTCTTGATCGGGCGGGTTTCTTCTTCCGTTAAGAACCCGCCTATCCCTATCTTCATTGTGTCCGCTACCTCATCTGGTATCCGATGTCCCTCCGTTGCCCTTCTTTCTCGGATCACTCGAAGGACCTCTTCCTCCTTCTCCATAGCCTCTTCCTTTGATGTCTCTAGCAGGATCGAGACCAGTTTTGCTTTCTTCCCTACCGGCTTGTACTTTCGAACACTTCCTTCCGGGATCTTTCTCCTAAAAAATGAACAGTCGGAATTGCCCCCGTCGCCTCTACGACTCGTGGTTGAATACTAACTAGTTTCTCATTCAGGCATATCCCTTTTGCACCTCTCTTTCGAACTTGGCCAAGGCTGCCGAATCCACTTCTACCTTGTGGTATCTGAGAGCCTCGACGAGTTGCAATAGATTGGGGATCTCGAGTGCGATTTCTGACAGGTCTATGTGTACTTCTTTCTGTTTGGGCAGGCTACCACCAAGTTCGACCCTTAAGTCCTTTTCCGCTACCATAACACCTAGGTTTTTGTCCTCCTGCCTCCTCTTCTTCTGGGGCAGGCCCATCTTGATCAGCTCTTTTTTGTTGAATGCTTCCTCAATCACGATTTCTACCCTTTCTCTCATACCCTCAATTCGTGCGAAAGCCCCTTTTCGTGTGCTATCCTCGAACGACGGCGACCATGTTGTCAATTGCCCCTTCGGGGGGTTTCCTCCCGTTCCAAGGAGTCGGAGGAGCTCTCCCCGGCTGGTCACAGGGTCCTCTATGTCTACCATGTATGAGCCATCATGAAGGTGCATGCCTATCATCTCCACGTTTGCGCACCACAGTCTCCCGAGGATTATGTCGTGGTCCATTTCCTCCATTACGGTCATCCGCTGAAACGACCAGATCGATTATCTGACCCCTGCCTTTACAGCACACTTCGTGACATACCCAGCGAACGGGATTTCCCCGCCAGCTCCCCGGATGCTCCCTGTTACTTCCTTGTTTACCGTACATCCTGTGATCGTTGCGAAATCTCTTCTTATGAGAGTGATTTCTGCTAATGCATCGGTATGATGACTCCCGATCTGGATTTCCAGTTTCCCTACGGGTAGCGCATGAAAGCTAAGCTTTGTCCCGGGTGGTGACCTCATGACTTCGCCGCCCTCTCGGTCGGGCAAGCTCAAACGGATGTCTGCAAAAGCTTTTTCGAGATCCTCCAAGTCCCCGCGACTCCTCTGAAGGTTAGTCACTTCTTGCGGAGCTTCCTCCTCCCTCTCCCCCTTCGGTAATTCGGGGTTGTCGCCTATTTCTACTCGCCTCCGAGTCAACAGTAGTTTAAGCCCTTTGAGCAACCTAGGGCTAGCTTGCAGCATGGTCTGAAAAGACACCGACACCATGATTCCTAGTAACTTGCTAATGGTGTCGTCGAGCTCAGGCAAGGTTAAAATCGAGATTTGACACCTAAACTTCTTCTTAGCGGCGGTAACCTTGTCCGCAGGCTCCTCTTCCCTAGGCTTCCCATAGACTTTCTCTGGTTCCTCGGCCTCAGGCTCAGGCTCTGCCTGGGGTTAGGAGCTTCCGGCGACCTCTTCCATAATGGCGTCACAGTTAATCCTTCTCCCGGCCGTTCCCAGTCGAGTGGTTGCGTTCACCCTATCACGTCCACCGCTTTCCAGAATAACGTTGGCCTGCGGCCCGCGTCCTCGGAGTTGATCCCAGATGATCTCATCCACCGGTTCGGCCTCTACGACTGTTATTTCTAACCCGTTGAGCATGATAATGGCTCGCCGCATCCCTCCTGGTGAGTTCCAGTTCACCCGCTCCCATTGTGGCCCAAATATCTCCCCCTTTAATGACCTGGTACACCTTCTTTTCAGAATATCATGGTTGAGCTTTGGGCATGCACGCACATAATGTCCTATCGCGGTACAGTGCTTGCATTGCTCGTTAGCAGGATCTCTCCGTTCGAATCCCCGGCTTGCTACACCTGGCGGAACCACAGCTTCCTGGGGAGGGAGGGCAGGTCAGGATACTTGCGCCTGCATAACCAGTAGCGCGCCTTTCATCCTTTCAATCTTATTGTCGATCCCGTGCACCCGTTCATGTAGACTTTCAATCCCATTCTTTACCTTGTCGCCCGTCCTACCGGTCAGATCTATGATCTCTCCTTCCTTGAGCAAGGCCAACGTCTCCGTTACTACCGTTTTCTCAGCCAGATCCGTTACCGTGCTAAAATCAACATCCCGCGTGTTTACGAACTTGCTCGTCTGTTGGTAAGCTTACAGGATCTTGTGTTTGTCGAACTCAGAGAACTGCCTGAGGAAATATTTGCTCATTATCCGGTCCGTGACCCCGGGGATCCTTAGTGCTACTAGAAGAAATTCTCGCAGGAAATCATTGTACGTTGCGAAGTTCTTCCTCTGAACTGCCGCTAGGTTGGCCTTTGTTGCCATTTTCTCTACCGCTAGGTACTTCCTCATCATCACATCTCGGGTCTCCTTCCAAGATCGGCTTGCGGCTACAATGGCCATTATGTCCCGTCCTAGGCTTAACGACACATGCTGGCCTAGGTGGTCCATCTTTTCCTCCTCGGTCGACTTGAGTAACGCAGCTAGGTTCTCGTAGTCGATCAGGAACTCCGTGATATTTGCTCCATCGAAAGTCAACTTTTTTTTGGCGTCTGCTAGATAGCCTTGATTTTTGTTAAGTGCTTGCGCGAGGGACAACACTATCTTCTTAAGGCTGCCGTCGGAGCTGCTGGCCTCGCTTGCCACACTGTTATCCGGACTTTCCTTGCCGGTCTTCTGTCCCTCCCTGGTTTTCATAGTTCCTTCCGGGTCAAACCATCCCAACACTCTTTCCCTAAGGCTCCAAAGTCCTTCGCATCCTCGCGCTACTGCTGGCGTGATCGGAAGGCGGCTAGCCCTACTATCGATGGCTAGTGGAGTCGTAGCCTTTTCTGCTTCCATCCCCGGAGAGTTATCTCTTTCTTTCCTTCTCTTGCTCGGCGTTCCCCCACGGTCACTACCTTTATCCCCTTGTCCAGTCCCACCTTGACTGGCTTTCTATTCGTCCCGGGGTTCCTCCTGCAGAGGACCTTCTTCGTTCCCAGTCATCATTTCCTCAATCAATCTTGCCTTGTATTCTGCGGTCCTCTTGTCTATCTTGGCTAGTTTGCGCCTCGTGTCCGTGACCCTTACTTTCTTAGGCATAGCGCCTTCCGAGTTTCAGGGGCTTGTCCTATCCTTATTTCTGCCTTCCTTGGTCCCCTGGATCCCCTGCCTGCTTCCCCCGACTTTCCCCGAGCTTTCTCTTGTGGAGATTTCCTTCCGGTTCCCTTTGGTACCATCCGGATGTATCGATTCTCTGTCCTTTTGCCCCCCTTCGCTTTGTGTGGCACAGCCTCCTAAGCCTAGTTCTCCTTCACTCTTACGGTTATCTGTCTCCTCCTCCGTTGCCATTTTGCCTAGTTCTGCATAAGCCAAAGAATTCTCAGGACACACGCAATGCGAGGTATTTAGGTTCCCTAGGCTCCCAACTCTGTTGGCTTATCTTTATAGCCTCCTTTCCTATCCCCGTTTCCTGATTGCCCTTCCTTAAGGAGGAGCCACGACTGGCCCTGCCGCTCAGCCGAGGTATGAACGTGACCTGGCTTCCTTTATCACAAGCTCGTTTGTAGTGCCCTTGTCCCGTCGGCCGGCGTGAGGGAGCCCGGGTTAGGCATCCTGGTAGGGGAAGTCTTCCCGGCAGCGTTTCCCGTTTTTGACCTTCAGGGTTATGGTCAATCATTAGGACTATGCCCCCCCCCCCCTTCTTTGTTTTTTTAGTGGGTTTTAGCCATCCAGGTCCGAGGCCTCTTTCTTATTCCCATCGGCGAACTTCCGTGCGCAGCGAACTATACTCGATCAGCCCTATTGACCCGCCTGCGGATGCTAATCCTGCTCTCGCCCTTGCGGCTCTTCTGGTTCGGTAGGCTCCTCGAATAGTTGAGCCACCCCCGTTAGATAATTCTCCCCTATCTCAATTTCCCTTTGGATTATGCGTTCGCACCCCGTCCAGTCTAGCTGGGGCGCACAAAACATCAGGATGTGGATGACTTCTAGTAATTTGTGGGCCCTGTTTCCCCAGAACGGCCCATGCTCCACAGCGACATCGTAGAACATCCCAATGGTAGGGGAGGGAAAGTGGCCTGCCCAGACTATCGCTGAGTCTGCCAACTCCCGTGCCCTCGTGAGGCTTCCGAAGACGAGGTCTATCATAAAACGGGGTACTCGGCATATCAGCGGTGTGGTCGATGCCCTGAACTCCCTCCAACCTCCCATCTCCACCCGGGTAAGTAAGCCCACGTTCCTTCTTCCCCTGACCGATTGTCCTATCCGGGTCAACGTCCGGGCGACCCTTCGAAAGACCGGCGCCAGCTCGTGACCTTGTGCTATCTCTACCCCCAACGAGTGCCAGCCGATCTCAGGCAGATACATGGTCCCGATAACTTCCAGATTGGAAAACAGATCGTCTTCAGGTCCTCGGTTGAGTCTCATCCCTGTCCACCGACATTCTACCAACATGAAGGCGGCGTCCCTTCCCAAAGTC